CGGGGCGGGGATGTGTCACTCGACGTGTCACTCGACATGTCACTCGACGTGTCACTCGATGTGTCGCCACCGCCGTGTCACCTGGTCGGGCGGGACTCAGTGACACTCGAGGCGAGACACACGACTGCCATCGCGTGCATTACGAGACACTCGGGCAGACGTGACAAATAGGATCACGGGTGAACGTTTGATAGAGGTTTTATAGAGAGGAGCACAAACGAATCAAAAAAATCATCGTGCACTTTGTTGTTTTCTATCACCGCATAGTCTGATGAATTATAATCCGACTGTACCACTGTAAATACCATCATGGTAAACTGTTTATCAACGCCATTCCAGAATATAAAAGTCTCATTCTTACGCGTCTTTCTTCCACCTCTTACATGAAAAATCGTTATTTTATTGTCACCTACGGAAAGTCTCTGATCCAGACCACAGAGGTGGGATACGAAATGCATGAAATATGAGACGGCTGAATAAATGCAAATTGACTGTTGGGGCAAGACTGTCATCACTCACGATAGTGCCTCTGCAATCGAGGGAAATCGAGTGGAGACCCGGCAACGGTGAACGGACCCAATGTTGCGGTATCACCCTGGGGACATATACGAGCCGGATCTGGGGGATCACGGGTGCAATATGTCGCTGTCCGCGTCCCCAACCGCGCTGCCGGAACCGCGGACAGAGGTCTGGCGCAGGAAAATTACGGGGTAGACTTCCTGAGGACGAGGAACAATTAGTTCACTGTGACAGAACCAACTTATTCCACGCGTAATGATATGCTGACAGATCAATCCGTCTGTGGAATAAAGATGACGCTCGTTTCGTTGACAAAGTGGAAAGACGTCTTCTTGGTAGTAATTTGGTGGTAATTTAGGGATATAATGAGACACTTTTTAGTAGTGCGGAACGGCACGTCGTGAAATTAATTTTTGCCAAGTTCGCATTGCTTGCACTCAGCAGCCAGCTGTCTAAGTTACCACTGGGTCGCGGGCGGTGCACAGCAGTGCACGCGGCAGTGAACAGTGCGTGCTCGGCACTGCCGGCGCGGCGCTCCGCACACGCACGCACCACGGCCGCTTCCAATCGTACCACACCATCTGGTCGGCCGCCGACGCTCCATTTGACTCGAATTTTTCATCGATTTAGTTTAATTGTGCTCCATTTGTCAGAAGTCCGCGTCCCCCGGCCCGGGTGATTTTTCAGTGTGCGGCGCGCGCGTCAGACCGCACCACGGCCACCCTTTCTGGCCGCGGGCGTCATATCGAGCCGGCCGAGCCAATCTCGTGTGCCGACAGCGCACCGTTTGAAGATAAAAAGGCATTGTTGCATTAGCCGACGTCCCTTGGCGGCGCGCCTGCAGCCGATCGGCGGCCGGCGATCAATCGGCTTAAATCGCGCTCCGGCCCTCGGGAGGCGGCGGTCTTCCGCCGCAGATAACCGGACGCGTGGTCATGTCATCCACACTCTTCAGCCCGTCTCCGGGCGCGCTCAATCACTTAGGTCTCGTGCAAACTGTTTCTTCTGTGGGCCGTAATGACAGCTCCAATTAGGGCCTGTTGCACGCCAATTTCCGTAATTACTTTGCGCTAACGAACCCTGCATATAAAGACGTCAATGCGGCCCTGTGCCATGACTTATAGAGAGGTAGTCGGCCGATGGCCCAGAGGTAGACGCCAAATAACGGCGCCGCCTGCTTGGTAATATATGAGACCGGCAGCCTATCGACAATCGCGATGAATAGCTCCGCCATAATTAATTGCCCGGGACCGGCACGGCTGACAGGGCTGCTTGTTTTACAAGATAAAACGGCCGGTCGCCATGGCGCGAGACGGTCCAAAAATTCGACACCCTATGTCATCTGGTCGGCGTTGATCACGGCAGCTGCTTCTGCTGACGGCTGCCGCAAACTCGACACCTCAACAGCGCCGCGCTGCACGCCAGTGACGAAATTAAACAGGTCTCACACCGCTCTGGTCCCCGCGCGGGGCGCAAACACACGCTCACACGCGCCCGGTAAAATTAGCGTCCCGGTGGCGCCCGCTTCCTGTGATGAAATGATACCGGCGCGGGCCGCGACGCCGCTCGTTTGGGAATTCAAAATCACACAAAATGCTCTGACTACTGCCTGCAACTCCGGCGGGAGGCTGGTCCCACACAGAGCTCTCCTGGGCGCTGCAGAGACAGCAGTGACGGCGTCACCCGTCACGCATTTTTACACGTGCCGCGGGCCGGCCGGCGGAAAATTGAAAGTAACCCTAACAGCTCCCGCGTGGCCGCTAAAGGGGGCAATTTGAATGCCCGCGGCTGCGATTTGGGCGCGCGGCGACGGCGAGTAATGGCGCGGCGGCGACGGACGGCGCAGCGGCTGTAAAAGCGGCGCCGCCGGCCTGGGCGAGCTGTAAAATGTCAGCGCTCGTGATAATCGGCCTGCGCTGGCTGATTGATGAGCGCTCGGAACGCCAATGCTGTCGAGCGCCATCGATTGGTGGCCGCCGCCGGCGTGACAGGGGTCACCGGTCACCAGCGGTCACCAGAGGTCACCGCTCTGGTTACCAGTCACCAGAGGTCACCGCTGACAGCGTGACAGGGTCACCGGTCACCGGTGGTCACCGCCGGTCACCAGAGGTCACCTCTCAGGTCACCGGTCACCGACAGTCACTGGTCACCGGTCACCGGCGGTCACTAGAGGTCACTGATGGTCACCATCCGGTCACTGATGGTCACTGATGGTCACCATCCGGTCACTGATGGTCACCGCCCGGTCACCGGTCACTGACGGTCACTGGTCAGTGGTCAACAGCGGTCATCTCCACAGGGTGACCGGTCACTGGTGGTTACCGGTGCCCCTACTCGGGGTTACTCGGGAGCTCTCCAATTTACCGATCGAATATGGTCTGTGGGATGTCAGTGGCGGTGCAATTTGTTTTATCGATATCATTGCAAAGGCTGAAATAAAACATTATTTGCCTGTCCACAATCATCTAATGACTCATTCGACGAATGGTTTATGAAGCTCGGCGAGCATTTGTCCGCCCTTTCCGGTACCTGTAGGCATCGTTAGATGCCAGATAGGTACGTAATGAAGACAAATGAGGTTCAAATGGCTATATAGCTTATGATATAAAACTAGAAATATGAGCTTCAGCAGACTTTGTGTACAAAATTCATCGTTTTATGGCTATTGGAAAGACACAGGCGGATGGCTACATAGTGCATTTGTCATCGAGGTATCCTACCTCTGCCTCATGTATCCGGCGGTGTCCATCATCGGTGACGGTTCACTACCTCAACCCTGCCCTCCCTCAGTCTCTCTTTAAAATGTGGTACGGCAGTCAGTGACAGACGACACACTCATGGCCCACTCATGCCCTCGTTCCGGCTTCACCTCCCCATTGAATGTGCACTGTGTACTCTGCAGCATAGCGGTCAGTGACGACACTTTCGTCGGACCCCGCCGTGGTCCGACCTAATGGAAAGTCCACCGTCCCCACACAAAACAGCCCGGCACGGTCCATCGAAGTGCCGCCGCGCACGACAGTCGGACATGCGTCATCCGCTCAACACACGCGTCAGCATAAAAGGACGACGTCTAAACGTGTGGTTAAGGCGCCTGCATATTGTGTCCCGTGTAGCTGCATGGCCATTCTCCCCGAGCGGAAACGAGGCTGTGCAAAACACGCGACAATGCATTGGGGATATTACTTACGTTCAAGCAACACACCAACGAAAAACAAAGTTCACCGCAGCTGGCGCCGATGAAGGGTTGAAGTGAAATATACCACCAGCTCGTCATGGACCAAGTAATTTATGCAGCGATACCATGATGGTTATGGAACCATTGCAGCGCGACAACAGAGTCGGCAAACAGCATGATCTACCGCGACCGATGTTTGCACTAGCGCGGTTCTTGGCTGCATGTAAAACAAGTAAGCCGCTCGTTTGCCATGATTAATGGCGCCGCTGTTATGGTGGACCAAGCACCCGCTACTTGTGGAGCGATTGAGACATGCCACGAGCTGTGACGTCACGTGACGTTAGCTGTGAGGTCACGTGACGGGAGCTGTGACGTCATGTGACGTTAGCTGTGAGGTCGTGTGACGTCTGTAACGTCCGTAACGACATATGCATGAAATAACTGTAAATACGAGTTTGACCTTAGTCCTGAACCCATGACTGACGGGAGAGCGGTGCTGAATGTTAAACACTTTATGTACAGCCCTCTGCAAACTGCGTGGTAGGTATTCTTTTTTCGACAAAAATGAGAATAACGCGAATACTATGCTATCGGTCATTCGGAAATCGTAACAGCAAGACGCGCTAGACCCCGCCCCTTAGATTGGCATCATCACCGTATCCATTTTTCATCTAGTTCGGCAACTAAACCCAAAAATTTATATTTGCCCCCAAAACAAACTTTTGCATTTTGTTGCCACGCAAGGCGTATGCTTTGTTTATTGATAGACCTAATCGAAGGAGTGGAGCATGGCGCATCTATTTACAGTGAGTTCCGACCGACTGATAACATAACCTTTGAGTTATTATCGGTTTTGTCGAAAAAAGAATACCTACCACGCAGTCTGCAGAGGGCTGTACATACCTAACGATGAAACATTCATTGACAAGTTTTACATAAAGGACTTGCAGTATGCTGGCTGAGTATAAGGAGTAACGAATGTTACCGCATTTGGTAAAATTCGTCACCTGGCGAACATTTAAAGTTCCTCCCTGTTCTATCTCACTCAGGGCCTTCTCCCTCCCTCCCTCTCTCTCTCTCTCTCTCTCTCTCTCTCTCTCTCTCTCTCTCTCTCTCTCTCTCTCTCTCTCTCTCTCTCTCTCTCTCTCTCTCTCTCTCTCTCTCTCTCTCTCCCTCACTATTTACTCCGCTCAACTATCCCACTACCCTTTCAGTTTAACTTTTCCTTTTCTCCACCCAAGCCCGCCCATCTCCGCCTGTATCTCCCGTCTCCGTCAGTCTGACTCTCCATCTCTCTCCACAGAATATCCGCTGCACAAGCGGCAGCTGCGGCTGTACCAGCTTCACCCCCGGGGAGAGCACCATGAGGACCTGTCAGGACTGTGGGCACGGCTGGATTCTGCACGGTGAGTACCCCAGACAAGTACTGAAAGTAGAGTGCTTGATTTTTAGGCTAACTATACCTATGCATCGTCCCTCGAATATTTGGATTCACATTGTGCTGGAACAATTACTATGTGGAGGGCAGCATGGAATAAGTGTTTCTCTGGTTCTTCTCGTTCACCTGTTCTCGACTGTGTCGACCATTTCTTGTTTGTCTTCTCGTAAGCTCAGCCGCACGGCGTTGGTCGTCGGGCTGCCCGCCGCCGGCCAATTTGGTCAAATGCTGCAGGAATTGCAGGTCGGCCCGAGCCTGTTTACCGGCGGCTGGTCGGCCGGTGATGACTGGGGAGGGCCCCCTCATCCCCCCCCCCGGCTACCGTACACCCCACCGCTCATGCGTGCACCGGTCAACATTCAATAATAGAAGCGGTGCGGGCTGCGGCGCCCCATACACTATTCACCTGCTACCTCGGCTCGTAGTTGACAGACTCTCCGCCAGATGGCAGGCCACTCACCGCGTCGCCAATGCATACGAAGGGCCACTTTTCTGCGCGGCGGCCGCCCTGGTGACTTCACTCGGTGGCATTTATTTTTATAAAAGCGTTTTTCATCCGTGCCGCGTCCACCCTGGGGAGCCGTGTTGTATGATAAATATGGCAACACGCGGAATTAATAAATATAAATGCCACCGGCGGACGGGTTGAAATCTTACGGGAACATACTAACAAGCGGGGCGTCGGTCCCTGGGCGGTGATCATCTGTGCGGTGTCTGGACGCTGGCCGTGGAGAGGGCCATCAGCCGCGCTGGGGCGGCACGCGCTGAGCGCTACCCGGGGAACAGGTGGGGGCGGTGGGTATCGTCGAGAGCGACGATAGGGAGAGAGACGTGACCCGACTCCGGTGAAATGTACGTACAAATAATGTGTGTGTGTAGCGTGGGCTGACTCGAATCCGTGAGCTCTCAACTCGATGGGGCATACGGTTATATTTAGCTCTTGTTGCATTGTCCTGGACAGCAACTGACAGAAACTGTGCTTTAAATAATGACTGAAGCAATGAACGTAAAAATAAGGATATTTTTGTGTGCCTAGTTCGAAACGTTCGGAAGACAGAGGTCGCAGATGATTTAACAGCGCTCGTTAATAGTTTGTTTTTGGTGGCTGACCCTTTTGATTGGCAGCCAGCAATCTGCAGATCTATTGCAGCGGTGAACAAGAGTCATTCATTCAATTATTTATGCTTTCAAATTTAATCTGACAGCAATGTAACCTCTCCAATCAAAATTTGTCAGTTTTTCAAAAGGTTTCGATTTATTGCGATTGATTGGCATCATTGAAAAAACGAAATGATTTTTCTCCTGCAGACGAACATTTTGACACGCTGACAGGTGCACCATCACAGTGCCTGAGGTATTTGTTCAAGTGGCAACTGCCATATGGTTGGAAAACAGCCGGCCACCAGCTACATGCCCATTGATATGGGTATCTGGTCCACACATGAACTGACATAACCCAAAATTCGCAATACCTATACCTTGACCATCTTGACCTACAAGAGTCACGTACTTAAAAATTACCCAGATCATGTTTAAAGGAAGGGTGCCACCTTCCGAAATTTTTGTTCTATGAATCTATTTTACTTATTTGAATTTTTAGACGTGGTTAGCGCGTCCACAATATACAAAAAACCGAAACATTGCATTTAATACATTGGCCAAAAAAAAAGATCATTGTTTATATCACCACTACAACTCAAGGTCGTTTGATGGGGCAGCTAGGACGGCTGGCATATCCTGTTGTCATGGCAACATATCATTCTGCCATTTGCATTGATGGCGCAACTGAGACAAAAAGATGAACAAATAAAAAGGAAGAAGATAACATGATTTGAACTAAGTTGTAGGTAACCAAGTAGGTAACTGTTGGCCATATTTCATCATCAAATAAGAACATCAAATAAGTCGAGTAAAGGTTTTTCCTTTACAATGCTTAAGAGATCTATGGAACCCTTCACCCTTCATGCAACTTACTAGAAAAACTTCCCAATTAAAATTTTAAAACTTAAGTGTATACCATAAAGAAAAAATATACCCTTTCAAAATGATAAAACATGCTTCAAAAGTATAACTTTTATACATACCTTTGCTGATTTCATGTTTTATAAAATACCCTTAACACGACGAGGAAATAGTGCTGAAGATTTTTGCCTGCCCGAATGCTGGCAGCAAAACTCGCAAATGATAACTTCACGTGCGGATTCAATGCTGACCGTCTCGAGCATAGGTAAGTGAAGCCGGTTTTTAGGTTCATGTGAGGCTAATCTTGTAAAAACTGCGTTGTGTCCAAAAGGTGGCACCCTTCCTTTAAGGCCACTGCATAGTCTTGCATGCTCTATTTCATGGTTAGAATCGAAGTGAAATGGATACGCAAAAACGGCTCAATTCAGATATCAGGTGCCTTGACCAGCCGAGGCGAGCGAACAGCCAACAATTGTTCTAATTTTACACTTTGCGACCCTTAGCAATCGTTCAATAAATTGACGCAATAGAGCAACTGACTAAAATAAATCAAGTCTTCGATGGGCTAAATTGGCAGCAGCAACTGCCATGTGTCACCGATAGGCATTGACCTTTCCGCTGACCGTCGGTATTTATTTTGCCACCGGTCGCCGAGCAGTGTTATTAGATCCCTGGCCGATATATTTTCGATCGGGCTTGTTTTCGTTGTGGCTCGTTGTCAGACCGGCGTGGGGCTGCACTGGACAAACAGTCTCCGTCTGTTGGACAGAACCGTCGGATAACTGACCTTCCACTGTTCCTTCCCGGTCAGCCCGGCCTGCCCCGGCGGCCAGTCACTGAGAAAACAGCGCCGCAATCGACAGCAGCACGACACACTACATCACTCGATAATTGTTTGTCGATGAAAATCGTACCAGCGCCGCGGACAGGGGAACATGGCCGCCAGCTGGGCGGGCAGACCGCCCATCATGAATCCTGACCGCAGTTAGAGCGGAAGGTGCAGACTCCAAACAGACTGGGCAGATTAGAAGAGTCAGACATTTCGTTTTTCTCACAGTCAATGACAATCCAAAAACAATGTAATAAGACCAGACGTTTCGACAACAAAGTGCCTTCGTCAGTGGAAAAACAAGATATAGGCTTTACATCGATAAAAAAAATATAGAAGACGACCAGCCTGCACGAAATACAGTTCTACTTTTTTGAAATACAGGTTAGATATAAATGCGAGATTAGATATAACCTGTATTTCAAAAAAGTAGAACTGTATTTCGTGCAGGCTGGTCGTCTTCTATATTTTTTTATCGATGTAAAGCCTATATCTTGTTTTTCCACTGACGAAGGCACTTTGTTGTCGAAACGTCTGGTCTTATTACATTGTTTTTGGATTGTCATTGACTGTGAGAAAGACTGGGCAGACATGACTGCCGGGTCCGACAGTCAGGTCTCCAGACATGACTCCAGGCAGACGGGCAGACACTGTCGAGTCCAGACTCCAGACAGACTGGGCAGACGTGAATGCCGAGTTTAGACTCCAGACAGACGGGTCCTGACAGACTGGGTGGATACCTTCGATTGCTGGCAGATGACAGCATGACTACAGTTGTTTTTAGGGTTTTGGGATCAGTCGGGCTATTGTGTTCCATTGCCCATGAAGATTGTTTTGGACTTTGTGGAAACCAATTTCTCTGCTCCTTGCTACACCGCTGTGCCTATTACCTATCATAGTTCTAGCCTCCGTTAGCGGCACCAGACTCCCCGTTCGTGAATCTGTCGGCACGCGCTGCCGCTGTCCCTGCGGTCTGGCTGTCCTCACCGGCGGGCGGGCGGGTGCGTCGGCGGAACCCCAGGCCTTCCCTCCGCTCCTGCGGGCCTCCCCTCACAACCTGGTGGCCGCTGACACATGGTAATGACGGGGGTCGCGCGTGTCACTCCCACCGAACGGTGCCAACACAAATACGCCGCCCCCGCCCCGGCGCACCCGCTCAAGGGGTTAACCCGCCGGTAAATAGAGGCCGCAGGAAACGGCGGCACGCGTCGCGTCCGCCGCGCGCGCCGCTGCTCGCCGCCGCGCCGTCTCTGCGTCTTGTCGACGCTGACGGCGATGGCGAAGGTGGCGCGCCGGAGACAGCCGACGCCGCGTCCCCGGCGCGCCCTGCAGACGGACACTTTTTTGGCGGAATTCGACGCGGCTCGTTAGGAGACTACACGAGACTCGGGAAACAGTATCCTGCTCCCGTGTGGGGCAAGGCAGGTGATCGTCGGGACGATGGGGGAGGGGGGGGGGGGTCGAAACTGTCGCCAAGCGCTCGTGCCGTGGCGTCGGCTATACTGTTATCTGTTCTGGTGCTTTCTGTCTACATACATCTGTCTGAGGAAGATGACACGCTGAATGCGTTTTATTTTTCCTGTCTAAAAGGTGTTCCCCGGAAATGAGATCAGCATCATGGCTGTTTCCCGAATGATCGCTTCATTGATACACGCTAAGCACACAGATCAAACACTAAATCAGCATTGGAGCGGACGGTTGACGGGTTCGACGAGGGACGGGGGAGAAGTCCCACCAGCTCAGACATGGGACGTCGCCTCTGCCCCCGTGTCAGGTCGGGTCGGGGAGGGGTAGGGGTAGGGGCACCGGCGGCGGCCGCTGTCGAACGCTGCGACTATTGGCGTTGGCAGCAGTGGCGCGGCGCTGCACCCGACCGTGTTGTTTTAGCGGACCCGATCGGCTGACCAGCCCCTCTGGATGTGACCTGACCTGTCTGCTTGGCCGGGGAGCAGCGGTGCCGCCCTGACCCGCTGACACGCGGGGCCAGGTGCCACCGCCACAGTCACCCTGCCAGAGGGCGGCTCGGGGCCGCTTTTAAGAAATCACCGTGTTTGAAAATAATGTCGTGTTAACTTGTCGCCGTGCGTGTTGGGTAGTTTTTGCGCCAGTTGGCGGCGGTTTACCTTGCGACACGGGCGGTAGGGGCCAAAGGAGCACCTCGGAATGCGACTTCGGTC